AGTATCTCATCCCCCAATACGGTCCAGGAGAGGGCCCTAAAGTACTGGATATTCAACTAGCCATATCTCCTCAACCACTAAGCCAATTGGGGTGGTTCAAAAACCTATGGACTCCCAACAGAGTCTACTTTCCCATGAGATACCTTAACCACTGTCCATTGCACTTCCCAAATCTCGATTAGAGAAACAGTAACCACCCCCTGTAGTTTACACCACAACACCCCTATGTACCGATACAGCGGTACAACTATGAATATGCGCAACTCGTTTTGAAAATACCATAGCATTGCATTAATTAGAGGGCATATGAACCTTGAGCTGAACGTAGGAGGGGGGTTTGTGTACATGGCTGGAATCTAGGCTTTGCTAGACGTCGTCGATGTGAACGGACGGACACATGTAACATATTGTGGTGGGTTACGACAAAGCGCCAAGAGGCACAAGTGTGTGCACAACCTGTTGGTGCCCTTGCCTTCGATTTCTGAGCTGTTTTGGTGTTGCTTCATGTGCCGTTTCTCGCCAACACACAATAGGGGACAAACGAATTTTTCGGTTGCTTCATACCCCCTAGCTGCAATGGGGGTTCATTGTTCCTTGCGGAATCTCCCGAGACTGGAAGCGTGAAGTGCGGCACTGGTTTCTCCCACTCAAATCGTTTGAATCTAAAGTTGTAGAGGCATGACTGATACCTACTACGAATATCACTTTCAGATATGGCAGTCATTAAGATTACAAAAGGCCTTGTGAAACTCAAATCCTAAAATAAGCTCTGCCTAAAAAATGACCCTCTATGTGGAAATGGAGGGTATCAGAGATATACGAAGGTGCAAGGATGGAGACTATAAAGCAACCTTGCCTGCACTCTCGGGGCTTGGTGCACTCCATTTTACCGCATTTGTCAAAACTCACATTAGGAGTTCACCATTCTTGTTGTTTGTTGGCTGTGGCAGACATGTTATCCTGCAAGACTCAAAATAGAAAAGAAATCTTGATTCTTGGTTGGCAACCAGGTATCCATTCAGCAAGCAGTGCCATTTTGGGTGCCTTGGTGCCCGCTCTATTGCAGGCATGGTTCCCGCCACTGAATGAGTACAATACACGGACTGGAGTGGATGTGCACATTCATCACAACATTGAAAAAGCGATGTGCCGATTATGGCACAAGTCTCTGCCGTTGCATCAACGAATGTGTCAGAGTGGCTGGCCGTCACCTAGCAAAAGTCATCTTACATTGTTAGCAAGCACTCACCCGAACACAAGCTCCCTCCGGGGCAATGGACATGCCATGAGGTATGGATTAGACAATACATTACTCGAATATTCCGCATCGTATTTGGCACCGAATCAGTCCTGTTTGTCGTTTTTTCGTTGATTTGCCATATCACACACCATCTCCACATTCACCTTCCATGATGCACAACTCTCCACCACACTCACCATGTGCGTTGTGTTGGTCTGGTTCGCTGCATAGTTCTCAGAGGCGTCCTCACAGTCACCATTGATCTCTGATGCATGCGAACATGCTGTGCAGGTGCTGGCAGCTGTGGACAAGGGCCAGCTCTTCGGGGAGCCCCAGTTTGAGGTCTTCAAACCGAAATAGGAGCTCGAGATCTTCAAACATTAATAGGAGCTCAAGACCTTCAAAAGTTAATAGGAGCTCAAAATCTCCAAAATTGATAGGAGCTAAAGATTTTGAAACCTTGATAGGAGCTCAAGACCTTCGAACCTAAATAGGTCACCCGGAAGCCATTCCTTCGAGGCTGCACTGAGCCCCAGACGGCTGCCGAGGACGTGGTGGGGTTTCATACTTAAGCCAGTGCATTTAAATAGTCAACTTGGCATTAGATTAGTCAGCCTGGCTCCTGACTGATCTGCCTGACGTCCCAGTCTGCCCTGCTCCTGCCTGGTATTGCCCTCTGCCCGCAAGACGCACTGCAGCGTTTGTAAATTTGCCGATCACTTCTAAAAGCTTACGCTTTCCCTTGCCTCCTCGGCCAAAACTGCAACTGCTTCCATGGGGAAAGGCCCATCAGGAACATGTGTGGGCACGATCTGTGAGGCGGTGGTGGCCATGGGGATGACCTCCAATGGGGTGATCCTGTGTCGATCTTTTCACACTCAGCGCCAGCTTGACGCTAGTAAGCAAGAGAGGGGGGGGACGGGACGGGACTGGAAAGTGCTGAAGGGCACTGCGATCTTAACCTTCTGACCAAGGTTGCTGTGGGTGCGCCATGCACTTTAGACCGATGGCGTGTTCCATGCAACAGCACAACGTTGCATTGCCCGCTGCTTGCAGAAGTTGTCACTGGCCGTTCCCCTTGCTGCTGCAAGAACCTGCCCTTTCCAAAATTTGCGGCCCTCCAGTAAGGGGCGGCACCCCTCCCCCATTCCTGTCTCTCAATTCATTTCGTTCTCTTTTCTTGCTTTCCTTTTTTTTCGGTTATAGATGAATGCACCTCAATAAGCAAATCGTGGACACCGCTTTTTGCTTGTGTAAAATAAGAAGCTGACGTCATGGTATGTTGAATTTCATGATGATGGCGCAGATGGCAGCCGCACAAGCACGTATCAAGCCATTAATGCGTGGAATTTTGTTCATGCATCGTCACTCTTCTTCCACCCTTGCCTAGCGGCGCTCTCGGGCCACCCCACCCACAGGTCCTCATGATAAAGGGACGCAGGGCCAAGGGGTGACAACCCTTGAGGGGGACCCGCAGGCTGGAGCAACCAGCAGCGGATTGCAGCAGGGCACGGGGGCGGTATGAAATTAGCAGCTCTGTCGTTTCTGTGCAGATCCCTACTTGTTTCGGACACACCAAACCCCAAAACCGCTGAACCCCCTGACCGGCGCTGGCCTTGTCAACGGGAAGAAGAATATGTCCTCGCGGAAGCGACAGACGGGCTGATGCATTTTCGCAAAGGGTCTTCAGTGAGTCACGCAGCCCAAGGTCAAGCCCCCCCAAGCTGCAAGGTCAAACGTTGACGTCCTGGCCCCAGCGAACGGCATACCACCATTTTCAGTGGCACCATATGTACGTGCACGCACCGCGAAAGTCAACTCGACCACAGCCTGATATACTGAACAGAAAGCGCTTTCAGCAAAGCACAGTGATGCCGACGGACACCGCGCACCGCGGGTCGCCTTGCGCAGGGCGGCTGGCCGCCCCCCGCCCCTAATTAGGCCCGTTCCTAAACTAGCTAGCGCCCAGCGGCCCGCCCGTGGTTGGATCGGCGAACATCACAGATTATCTAATTGTCAGTCACGACAGTACTGCGCTCAGGTACTGGGCGCCCCATTAGGCCCGATTTTCCCCTTGGATCAACAAGCATTACGAAAGGACCCAGCAGTCTCCGTCAGCGCCAATACACTCCCGCGTGTCCGCGTCCGTACAAAGGCCCCCCCCCCGCGAGCCGCGCGGTCCGGTCTCCTCTGTCCCCCGGTCCTTTTCGAGGGCGCGGCCGCTTGCGCGGGCTGAGCTGCGGCTTGGGCGGGCGTCCTCCGGGCGATCGGCGGGCAAGATGGGCGAGTCGGCATTCGAGGAGCTCTACGGCTTCCTGCCGGTGTGAGTACCTCCCGGCCCCCCACACTGTTGGGCCCGCCTCCGCATCATCCCCTCGTCGCGAAATTGTCCCCCGGCTGCGGCCATCTTGGCGCTGGCCTTCCCGCGGCGGCAGTTCGGCGCCGATCTCCCTGCTGCGCGCCAAAGCCGCTGCCCCGCGCCGGATTCTCGCGGCAGCCCCTCTTTCATTCCCCCGGCAGCCCAGATGGCATCGGAACCCCGGTGGCCCCACCGGGCAGCCCACGGCGCCCCTCCTCCTTTCCCATCTGTGCTTCTTCGCGCGGACACTTCCTTTTCCTCTCCTGCTCTTTGGCTCTGCCGCCATTCGTGGGATCTTCGACACCCCCCGTGCGGCATCGACGCGGCCCGCCAGCTGCCGCCTGGGCCGCTGCCACGTGCCACCCGCCGTCGCGATCTCGCCGGGCGCCCACCGCTCTCGATCCTTCGCCCCCCTCTCCCCCAAACCTTCCAGCCGGGATTCGAAATCTTTCGCAATCATGCGTCACAGCCGCCCTTGCCATCCCCGTCGCCGCTGGGGGGGGGGGGGCGGTTCTCCCCGTCCCAGAAACTCAGCTCCCGAGGAAAGGTGAACAACGGCGGGGTATCGGAACGCCAGCGCGAAGTAGCGCCGCGCGAGCGCGATTCAGCAAACGGCCGTAGGGAATGGCCCGACTCTGGATTGGCATGCGCAGAGGCCTCCGCCAAGCCGCCTGTCTGTCAACCTGACACTCGAATGGGAATTCCTAACGCGCAGGCCGGAAGGCCAGCTGGGGAGCTCCATCTTCCTGCTGGTGGTCTACGGCTTCGTGCTGCTGCAGGGCGCCAACCTGCTCTCCGACGGTAGCGAGATGCTCCTCGAAGTCTTCCCACCCGGCATCATAGGAGGTAATAAATTTGCCACCCCCCACACCCCCGCACGCCCACACACCCGCACACCTACACACACACGCACGCGCACAACCTCCTGGGGTGCTCATCATGGCAATGGACTTTGTTCTGTACGCGCCAACCGAGATGGCGGAAATGATGGCCCTCGGCGGCCGTGGCGATCGCGAAAAGTGGAGGCCGCAGGCGCTTTGCCGTGGGCCCCGGCGGCGCGAATATTCGACGCTGCGGATTGAAGTGGCGACACGCCGACCCACGAGGAAAGTCCGCGCGGCCAGTGCTGGTTGCGGATTGAATTTGGTGCTGTTGCGTGGCGGGCACACCGGGGATCTGCGTGGGGACGCGCAATGGGTTGAGCTATATTGCCCTTTGAAGAGACCGACGTGTCGCATTCGAAGGTGGCCGCCTGTTCCATACCGCGAAAAGGGGTCGTGGAATCTGCCTGCTCGTGATGATGGGCTCGCGAATCAAGGAAGCCCGAAAGGCGGCGAGACATGCATTCAGGGGGGTGGCAATGGTGGGAATGCCGCGTGGATGTACGGAACGGGGGGAATGCCTACGCATGCGCCGCCTAAGAGACGGCGCCGGGCGGCCGATCCTCGACTTGCTGCCGGGCCGTTTTGGGATGTGGAGGTTGGTGTTTTTGCCGTAGGCGCGTTGCCGGGGCGGGATCCCGGCAGCCTTCGGTCGGAAATCTGTGCCGTCTGCGCTTCGGTGGTAGTCGAAAGGCCATGAGGTTCAATGCCCTGCGCGGCTGGCCGAGCCCGAGCTTGGCTCCCCTGCAGCACGGGCTTGTTGGGAGCGATGGTGCCCTATCCTCGCATTCGAGTGAAGGGGAATGGTGCCCATTTGCATGCATGGAAGGGTGTGCGCCGCACGGTGGCTGCTGTTTGAGTGCTTCGATTGCTCTGGATGGGAAGGAGGAAGCGGCTGTTTTGAACGCTAGGTGGCTTGTCTTGTTGGGACCCGGGCACAGAAGGGGTGACGGGACAAGAAGGACGTCATTTGGGCCAGCCTTGCGGTGCACAGTGCCGTGTGGCCGCATACCACTTGCCCACCCAAGGCGGAATATGTGCGTCAATCGACACCGCCCAGATCCGCTGCGACTTGGGGTAGCTGCTTGCCACGGGGTGAGATATCAGCCAGTATTTGCAGGTTTGGATTGGCCCTTGCACGCACATACAGTCCCACAGGTAGAAATGCATTCTTTGGCTGCTGTGGAACTTTTCGTTTTGAATAACAGATGCAAAATCCAAATTAACAAATACAAAATACAAAACACAATCAGGTCCGAAACTGCATGGTTTGGATGCCAAGTAGATTGAAGAGGGGTGTACTGTTGGGTTCTAAACCCTTCCACATAGTAACGTAATGCTTGGACTTTCTTTGCCAAGAAAGATTTAAAATGAGTAGTGCTCCTTTGATAGAATTTGTGAGGAGGCATGTAAAGATAGCAAAAACAATGCCCTGCAACACAAATGTTTGCAGAGCAGAAAGCGTAGCAGTAAATTCTTTTCATGCGGAAGGGTTGATATGGTTTCCCATGATTCCAGTCGAGAGTAAGGACCTAAAGTGAGTTTTAGGCCCAAGCATGGACTTCCGATCCGATCGAGCCGGTTTGCGTGTGACAGGGATTCTTCTGCCCATCTTGGGTGCACTTCCCGACTGCCTTATCATCGTGGTGTCAGGAATGGGCCCTGTCGAGGAGGCCAAGGAGCAGGTCAGTTGCCAACACCCTGCTCATTTTGGTCATCATGTTAAAAGATCCTGCATGAATGTTCGTTAGATCTTACCGGTGCATAGTTTCCTTGCATTCATGGGCAACATGGTCACAGGTTTTCAGTTGTCTCACTGAAAATGCATAAGATAAGCTGAGCACATTGTCAGCAAGGCATAAGCATGGCCTCCATTTTCACAACCAAAACAGTGCCTGATCTGGAATGGAAGCAGCAGAAACTGCCGCTCTTGTCAATTCCTGATCGCCGCTCTTCAACAAAGGAACCAGGTAGACTTCATGCTGTTTGTTCAGCACTCATTCCCACTGCCTGCGCATTTAGTTTGCCATAAGATTGTTGCAGTTGTGTCCTTGACTCCAGGCTTTCCATGTGCTGCGCCTTATCCAGAGTTTCTCCTGTGTTTGCTGACTGAAGTGACTCCGCTGACCATGTTGAATCGCAGGTCAAAGTCGGCCTGGGAACTCTGGCGGGGTCAACAGTTATGCTGCTGACCATTGCCTGGGGAGGCTCAGTGCTGTTGGGCCGTTGCGATCTTGAAAAGGTGGGCTGTCTCGCTGTTGCTTTGCTGTGAAGCTGCGATGCTGCGATGATTCACTGTTGCCATTCTCCTACACCATTGCGCCGTTCGACTGATGACGACCTGCTGATCAGTTGCACTGTCAAGTGGTGGAGTGGAAATTTCAAAAAAAAGGGGAAAGAAGAGAGAACAAAGAAAGAAAGAAAGAAGAAAAAAGAGAAAATCACAGGCGAATGCAAAGCATTTTCAAGCAGCTGAACGCTTGAGATGTTGGCTATGCGATTGTGCTCGTGTTCTTTGTGACACTGGGCCGCACTGAAACACAAGAAATTTAGCATGCCTTAAACCCAAGATGCAGGGTCCTCACTTGGGTGGCCTGCGCATGCTGCTTTGGGCAAGTGCCTTGCCCGTTCACAATGTTGGCTTTTTGGTCGCAGAGGGGAGACCAACTGGTGGCCAAGGACAAGAAACTCACCAAGCCATGTGATGTGGTCGAGACGGGAGTGACGGCAGACAAGCCCACGCAAGTCAATGCCATAATCATGACCCTCAGTGTGCTGCTTTACTTCGTCGTCCACGTGAGTAGGCAACTCAGGGTTTTGACATCGAGATGCAGACAACCAAGCACTCACTCGGTCTTGAGCAGCCATAAATCTGGCTGTCAGTGGCTTTTGTGGTCTTCGGGCTACCCTAGTCCTGTCGTTACTGGTGGTTTTGCGCCTTGCTTCTCAGTTGTCATTGCTGGTGCACACTGATGTCACAAACCATACTAATGTGTATATGTGTGTGTGTGTGTGTGTGTGTGCATAGATACAGATACAGATACAGATACAGATACAGATACACATACACATACAGATACACATACAGATACAGATACAGATATAGGTGTACATATAAATATAGATACAGATACAGATACAGATACAGATACAGATACAGATACAGATACAGATATAGATATACAGATATATGGATATATAGAAAA